GTAATTTGCTGCTTTCAGTTTATCAGTATGTTCTTGAGGATTTTTGCATCTATGTTCAGTAAGGAGATTGACCTGTACTTCTGTTATTGGCCAGGTCCCTCTCTGCTTTTGTTACGAGTGTAATTCTTGCTTCCGGCAATGACTTTAGGAGTATTGCTTCCTTTGCAGTTTCTTTAAAGAGTTTGAGGAGTAGTGGGGTTAGATCGTGTCTAAAGTTCTTGTGGAATTCAGCAGTGAACCCATCAGGACATGAGCTTTTCATTGTTGGTAGTTCTTTTTTTTTTTAATTACTGCTTCAATTTCATTGACTGATGTTGGGTTATTTAGAATTTTTATATCTTCTCGATTCAGCTTTGGTAATTCATATTTATTGAAGACTGTCCATTTTTTCTGAGCTTTGCATCTTACTAGAATACAGGTTTTTGAAGTAGGTATTGATGATCTTTTAGATTTCTGCAGGATCCATTATGATTTTACCCTTTTCATTCCTAATTGCATGAGTTTGGGTCTCTTCCTTCCTTTTTTTTGTAAGGTTGATTAAGGCTTTGTCTCTTTTATTTAATCTTTCAAAGAGCCAACTCTTCAATTCATTGATTCTTTGGATTGTTTTCTTAGTCTCAGTTGCACTACTTTCTCCTCAGATCTTTATAATTTCTTCCCTCATAAGTGCTTTGGGTTTTACTTGCTCTTCTTTTTCTAGAAACTTGAGGTTCATTATTAGGTTACAAATTTGAGCTTGCTCTGTTTTTCTGCTATCGGAATTCACTGCTATAAATTTCCTTCATAGGGCTGCCCTCACTGTGTCCCATAGGTTCTGATATGTTGTATTAGCATTACCATTTAGTTGTAGGAAGTGTCTAATTTCTTCTTTAATTTCATCTGTGACACATTGGTTCTTGGAGGGTGTTATTTAATTTCCCTGTGTTTGTGACATTTTTGTGGTTTCTTTTGGCACTGATTTCTAATTTCAGTGCACTATGATCTTTTATGGGATAATTTTAATTCCTTTGCATTTACATAAGCATGTTCAACGAAGTAGTATGTGCTCTACTTGGAGAGGATCTTACATACCTATGAGAAGAATGTGTATGTTGCTGTTGTTAGGTAGAACAGTCTGTAGATATCAACTAAGCCCACTTGTTCAAAAGTTTGGTTGAGTTCTGATATTCTTTTGTTGATTTTTTTTGTCTAGTTGATATGTCTGTTTGCGACAATGGAGAATTGAGGTCACCCATTACAATTGTATTAGTGCTTATCTGATTTTTCTTATCCATTAGTGTTTGTTTTATATAGTTGACTGTGCTGCTATTTGGTGCATACATATTTGTGATTTTTTTTTTTTTTTTTTTTTTGTCTTTTTGAGACAAGGTCTCACTATGCAATTCAGGCTGACCTTGAACTCACTTGTGTAGTCCAGGCTGGCCTCCAACTTGAAAAGATCTTCCTGCCTCAGCCTGTGGAATGCTGGGATCACAGACATGTGCCACCACACCAGGCTCCATATTCATGATTATTATCTCTTTCCCCTAGATTGTTCCCGCATCAAATATGTCGTGACCTTCTGTTACTCTTCTTATCACTCTTGGCTTGAAATTCACTTTGTCTACAAATAGAATAGCTCTCCCTGCTTTTTTCCAGGTTTCTGTGGCTTGGAGTATTGTTTTCCATCCTTTGACTTTCAGTCTACGCATTTGTTTTTGAGTCAAATATGTTTCTTATATGCAGCATATTGTTGGTACTTATTTCATGATCCATTCTGCCAACCTGTTTCTTTTGGTTGGTGAATTGAGACCACTGACTTTGACAGTTATAACTGATACGTATTGACTTGTCCTTGTCATCATATTATTTCTGTGCTGTTGATTCCCTTATTTTTTCCTTCTGTTTAATTACCTGCCTTGCCAGATGGATTCATTGTATTGAGATTCTTGGAATTGTTATCTTCCTGCCTAGTTCTAGAATATCTTCCAGAACATTTTTTTTTTTTTTTTGTCTTTTTGAGACAGGGTCTCGCTATGCAGTTCAGGCTGGCCTTGAGCTCACTTTGGAGCCCAGACTGGTCTCGAACTTGTACAGATCCTCCTGCCTCAGCCTCCCCAGGGCTGGGATTACAGGCGTGAGCCACTCCAGAGCATTTTGATAACTGGTTTGATAGTCATGAATTTCTTCAGATGTTCTATATCAGGGAAGTATCTTATTTATCCATCAATATTGAGAGATGATTTTGCAGGGTAAATCAATCTGGCTTGGAAGTTGTTTTCTCTTCTGGCTTGAAATACTCACTCAAGCTCTCCCTGTCTTGAGGGTTTGTGTTGAGAAGTCTGCTGTGCTTCTGATGGGCTTTCCTTTATAGTTTATTTGTTTCTCTTCTCTAAAAGCCTTTAATATTTTGTTCTTGTGCTGAATTTCTGGAATCTTGATTATTATATGCCTTGACTGGCAATGTATTGGGTTGTCTGCTATACATAACACCCTCTAAGGTCTCCCATGTGAGGATAACACTATCTGTTGAAAGAAAATCATGCTATTTTTTTCCTGAAGTGTGTATACATTGTTTGGTGGAATATATATATATATATATATATATATATATATATATATATATATACACATTTTTTCATATAAGCCAAGCCATGTGATATGAGCTATTTCAATTATATTAACATGGAAAATATACTTTCCTGTGGAAATTAACTGGAGTAGCACAGATTACCTCACTTATTTCCAAAATCAACAAGAAATTTACTGAGTTCAGTGCTCCGAATATTATAATATGTTCTTTAATCTCCTAGTTCTTTCCCCATTGTCCATCACTATAAGGTCCTCTTCTTTTATTTGCCCATCCAATAAGTTCAACCAGAGTTGTGGGAACTAGAGGCTTAGAGTAGTTACACTCTGGGGCCTTCTCTTCTTCTCAGATCCACTTAATTACTGTGTACAGCACCTCCTGCCTAATCTCTGTGGACTGAGGGGACCCCCATATAGGCAGTGGCCACAGTGGTTCATCTGCCAACCAAAATGGTAACCCATGCAGTCATGACCAGAAATTAATAGTAATCACTACCCTTGAGCTGGGATCAAAGCACAGCAGCGTCCTTCAGGATCCCTGGGTACCAGTTGTTGCCCCAGTTTCTGTTTTAGCAGGAGGAAGTTGAAAACAGCCCCTACAGGCATGTCCTCATCTTTCCCAACCTGGAATCAGGCCACTGTCCTCCTAAGTGCACCTGACACAGTCCTGGCTGTCCTCTCTGACCCCTTCCTCTTGCTCACACTTCTTTGAATCAATCTAACTCATGCCATTTCTGCTCCCCAAATGGACCTCCGGATGGCACGGATTTCTCCATCTTCACTGTCTCACAATGGACAAACTACTCCTGTCTCTAATTCATCTTTCTGAATGCAGATGAGTCTTTGTCAACACTGAGCAAAGCCCCACCTTCAGTGAGCCCACTGGTGCAAAAGGTGGTAGGCAAACAAAACTTTCCAACAAATTAGACTAAAAGGTCTCCTTTATTATGCCTGACTCCACACTTAGCAGGGGTTCTGCCCTGGGAATCAGAGTACACTGTATATTGGTTCACAGTGGACATTCTTGACCAGGTGTTCTTCTAACTGCACAACTGTGTCTGGGGATCATCATGTGCCTCTGGGGTTACATCTTTCCACTCTAGACTCCTCTGATTCATGCTCCATGTGCAAAAAGGCTGATGACCTTACAGACATACTTCACACCATGTTTATTTAGCTCCTGCTAAAGGTATGTATATGGCTTTCCATCCTCCTGTAATAGAGTCCACACCCCATAGCCTCACGTGGACACCCAAGTGCCCTCACCTACTCCCCTCCAAGGGAAATTTGTTTAGCCACCTGTTCCCCAAACTGTATGTTTCTTCTGTGTTCAGATTTCTGTTCCTCAGCCTGAGGGGGCATCCCACTGTCCACTGAGGCCTGCTTCCTCATATCTGCCTCTCCTAGCTCTTATCACAGCTGCTGGGGCATCCACCTGCATCCACACACTGAAATCTCATGAGGAGCTCCTTCCCCCAGAAGACCCCACGTTGCCGCACCTCTGCCACATCCCTACTGCCTGTTGTACCTTGCCACGCGATAAGAATAGGGGAAATTTTGCACAGAAAGATTCGATTTTTCTGTCCTACTGCTTCAGGGAGCCTCAAGAGGAAAAAGCCAACATCTTCACTGTTGTGCAAAGCTACTGCACACAGGTAGAATCGAGCACGTTCGTGAAAGGGAAGCATTTCCTCCACAGAGGAGACTTCCATAGAGAGGGAACAGCCCTTCTGTTTTGGTCTTCCTGTCTTAGTGAGGTATGTGCTCAGCTCAATGTGTAAGAAGTCTGATGCCGGTGACTCTGAGCCACCGCCATGGCTCATGGAATCTGCCCACTGTCCCACTACCTGTTGGCTGGATGTCAGCACCGCTGGGGGCTCCAAAGGGCATATGTCGTAAAAAAAGGGATATCCACATGGTTGCTGAGGGCCTGAACAGAGGACAGGATGTGTGTAGCTGCTGTTTCTGGGTGGCTGAGTCTGCACCACATGATGCTGCAGGAAGAAGTGCAGCTGTGAAGGACTTTGTTACTGAGCTAGAAGAGCTGGACGCTGGCCTGAGATAAGAGAGCCCATGGCGAGAGGCAGTTTCAAGGCTCCTACCACGTATGTGCAAGGAACCATGGTAGAGTGTGCACAGGGCTAGGGGCATCACATGAGAGGTGCTGAGGCTTGAAGGAATCAGGATGGTGGTCCAGGGCTCTTACAAGCTTGAGGACCCTTGAGCCGTTCCATATTGTGTGTCCTATGAGATAATTTCCCAGGGATCAAAAGGTGAATCACAAAGATGAAAGCTTCCTGTGCTGGCGCTTGCCTGCCCCTGCACCTTGCTGTTGATGATTACAAAGGATTCATGAGCCAACCAATGAGTGGCATCCAGATCTGCTGACCAGAAGTGGGGCAGGTCCTAGACAGCCTCTTCTGAGAGTCAGTTAGAAGCTGAAGGCTGAGGCCACTGTGCACATTCTTGGCTCTGTGGTATCAGGTAAGAGGACATGGGTGAAATTCAGGCCTCCCAGTGTGGACCCAAAGATCCAAAAGTTCTTGCAAAATCTCAAACTTGGGCCAGTTTGGTCCTTGATCCTTTTATCTTTTCAGCATCCAATAGATTTATAATTGGGCAAAAGAGGTTTTGCTAAATCTGCTGGAGAGCACAGGATTACTACAATAGATAGACATTTGGAAGGGACCCAAGCACTGGGGATGCAAGGTCTGGCTGCCACATGTATATCATCTCAGTGCACCAAGAACTTCAGAGAACCAGAAATAGGATAATGCAGTTGTATTAGAGGGGAGTTTTGATACATGTCCTTCGTATATGTTATTCTATTAAAGCCTCAAACAGTTCTACAAGGCAGGTTGATTTCTTTCTTTCCTGTTTGCCAATGAACATATGCAGGCTTGTGGAGATTAAATGATATGTCAAAGGTCACATAGCTAGAAATGGGATGAAAAAATGGGAAGAACCATTGTTCAAGTAAAGTTTTCTGACCATCAGCTTCTTCTACTAGTGGTGGGCTGCTTCCTTCGGAGTGACAGCAGACGGATACACACTGAGCAAGATATCCATGGTGCCTTGGTGACCAGGAGTGCTGGGGTACTCATATGGCTTCGTCTTTCTCCTCCAGGGCTGCAAGGAAGTCATACACACAGGTTTGGCTGTGTCTCAAGGACTGTGAAATTTTAGACACAGAAGCAGCAGCATGGCTCCTTATCACATCCGCATATACCAGGAGAGTGATCGAAAACCAGTGCTGGACTTGTACTGCAGAGGCATGGCTGAGCATGTCCCTGCCACCTTCCGCCACATGCTGAAGCTGCCTGGAACCCTACTGCTTGAGCTGGGGGTGCCCCTCTCCCTGCTGCTGCTCTCTGGCTCTTGGCTCTTGGCTCTCATGTCCAGCCTCACTCTGCTCCCCTTCTTGTGGTTCCTCGCCAGACACACCTGGTATCAGCATGTGGTCACCTGTTTGCGCACTGATATGGCTGACATCACCAAATCCTACCTGAGTACGTCTGACTCTTGTTTCTGGGTTGCTGAGTCTGGGGGGCAGGTGGTGGGCACTGTGTGTGCTCTGCCAGTGAAGAATCCACCACCGGGGGAGAAGCAATTGCAGCTGTTTCACCTCTCAGTGGCCATGGAGCTCCGAAGAGAGGGGATAGCGAAAGCCCTGGTCAGGACTGTCCTCCAGTTTGCCCGGACCAGGGCTACAGTGAAGTTGTGCTTAACACAAGTATGATTCAGCACAATGCCCTGGCCCTCTACTTCCGCATGGGCTTCAGGAAGAAAGGCCAGTATTTTTTGAATATATTTTGGAGGCTAACAGGAATACCTGTATTTCATTTAATCTACCACTACCCTTCTGCTCAAGATGGGGGCCTGTGATCTATTTCCTTTGTATTAACCAAAACATGACTGAGTCTTTTGCAGTCACAAACAAACTGTGACATTTGCATTACAAATCATAAAGTCTCATTGCTCGTACCCATCTGTGTCCTGCATGTTTGATGGTGTTGTTCAGGCAGTAGCAGGCTTTCTCCATTCTGTCTTTGTGGATTGCCCCCACTTCACTTTCCCAGTGGCATGATAATGTTGTTTTAAAATCAACCACATCACAATAATAGACACACACTTTCTCAGGAGTTGTGGGCCGGCAGTTTTATTGAGTTTAGCTGGGACTTTGCTGGTTTCAGCATATCTGTACAAGTATCCTCAGTTGGCTTCTGTTTAGGGATCTGGGCTTCATTCTGTTCCAGCAGTCTAACTGAGACCAAGTTCAAGGTCCTTGAAGAGATTAAAACAAAAGTGGAAATGTGCAAAGGCTCTTCCAAATGCCTTCAGGAATCACATGTGGAAATATCCATTCTTAACAGGAGAAATTGAGCCAAATCTATAGCAGAGCAGGTGGACTCACAGAGCGAGAAGGTAGGATTCAGTCCTGTACAAAGAATGGGCAGTAATACGCTGCATCTTTCCTACTCTCTAGTGCTGTAATAGTTAGCCTTTCAGAGACTGGGTGCTCAAGTAGAAATCCAAAGCCCACTTATTTTTGCAACGCTCAAACCCTGGTTTTAAACGTGAATGTGGAATTTTTTGTTTAAAATGAAACAGAACTGTTTTCAGTTCTAGGCTCCTGGAGTGCCTTGGCTCGCATGCTGACAGAGAGGTCACTATGTGCCTACTGTGGCATGTGTACCATAGGTTTCCCACCACCCTAGTTCATGCAAAGAGCAGTGAGGTAGGAGGGGTCGCTGTAGAGGATGTTTTCAGAAAGAGACCTCGATACAGACCACACCTGGCTGAGTAGTCAGGAGGAGTTGTTCTTGTGTGCATAGCAAGAGGGGATGCTGAGAAAGTGACTGTCCTAGATCTGTCACTATTGGGACCCAGACTGAGCCCAGCCCTGTCCCCATAGGCTCCAAGAACAAGTTGCTTTGTTCTGACCATGTCATCCTGGAAACCACAGTACAAGGGTAAGTGGGCATGTAGGTCTGTGCTGATTTTTGCAGGATTTTCCCTGTTACAAGTTACTGCACCTCTAACACTAGGGTGTTAGTGCAAGTCTCTAACACTTGCACAGGGCTCTATAGTGAGCTCCAAGCCTTCGACTTTTGACTGAATCTGCCTGCTCTCCAGCACGCAGATGGTCCAGTTGCAATTTCCACACTTTACTCCGCATGCTGCTGCACTGAAAGCCTCCCTGGTAAATCCTTATGTATCTGTTCTCTAGTGAACCCCAAATGTACAGATCCCTTGACCTGAAATATTCTCCCCCTCCACTCACTCATACCACTGTGGGTCCAGAAATTGGGGCCCCTAATCCATCAGTCTCATCTTTGTGGAACATTTTTCTTTTTATTGTTGTTCTTATTTTAGTAGGATTTTTTTCTATAAAAGAACTTACCAAGGACTGTGAACTTGGAAAAAGAAAATTAAAAGTAATTTATAGCAATTATTTATCTTCAAAGTTCAAAACTGGTCAATTCACAGGAAGACTTCAGGGCTTGTGAAAATTTTCTTTTAAACATTCATTCTGTAGTGGAGTTTTCTAAGTAAAATTAAACCTCTTTCAATAATTGGCCCCCTGGTGTAAGAGGTACCATGGAATATATTAGCATAAATATGGAAAAAAGTCTTTAACTGTTCACTGTCACAGACATAATCAACATGGTCAGTTACTCTCAAAAGCTCATCTTTCTCTTTTGGTGCTACTACTCCTGCCCACCTGTAGTAGGTTACCCAGTGATCAACTTGTAACAGCCAGATGAACCAAATCAGCATGGTTGGGTGTGGGAGGCCAACCTGAGGATTGTTGCCAACATCATAAAAGGAGAATTGGAGGGGAAGACGGTGCACTGTTTATTGTCCTGGAGAAGCTTGTCTCATTGGTTTTCCTGATATGAACTTAGCTGTTCTCATCATTGGAGGAGTTTGGGTCTTCGCTGCTGCTGAGGATGGCTGTGGTTCTTTTCAGGGGAGGTCTGAGAATGGCTCTCTGGCTCCAGTGCAGATCCCTCAGTCTGCTTCACAGATCCTTCATCCTGCTTGTACAGACTTTAGTGTCCACCACTGACCTTTGGGCCTTCCCAGCACAGATCCTTGAAACAGACTTGCATGAAACATTGTGGTGGGCTCTAGGCCTCTAGTTGATTTCATAGAGGACATTGCCCTTGGCTCTAGGTCTTCAGCTGAACTCCTGCAGGACATTGTTATGGGATCCAGGCCCTCAGCTGGATTCTTTGGGTCACTAGTGTGTGGACAGATCTTCTGTACTCTTCTGCATTTGACTCTTTGGGTGAACACTATAAAATAATCATTTAAATTTGGTCCAGTGTTAAATCTATTCCCTTGTAAACCCTGACTACAACACCACCACTTGTGCTATTAGGTGTTAGGCTTGCACTGGTTGTGCTGTGGTCAGTTGGGAGAGCTGTCAAAGGCTTCTCAGTGGCTTGTCAACCAGTGGCTTTGCCTGAACTCTGTATATTAGTACAAGGCAAATCCACTAAACTATCATTGAAGAGTTTCCTCACTTTGTCTACATTTTCAAAGTCCTCTTTCTCAAAACTTTGCATCTGGCAGGACATGTTGGTGTTCTCCCACTGATAGGGCAAGACTGAGATTTTTGTCTTTAGAGCTTCATTCCCTCTCATTTGTTGGGGTTTTGGCAGGGGCCAAAGACAGAGGTCAGTGAACTGAGATTTTAATTGCCAATAAATTGCTTTTGGGATTTGTTCTCAGTTGAGTAAGCTTGAATTACTCTGTGTGTGTGTGTGCATGTGCATGTGCGCACGTGTGCAGTATGTCTCAGGAGTGGAGTTAGTTGAATGTCCTAAACCATAATTTGAACCTACAACACCGGTCACTACACTGTTACTATATAAGGGAGAGAAAGAGAGGATCATTGCTTGTTACTTGTCGCTTGCTGCTTCTCTGCTACTCTGCTGCTTTGGTGCCTTCTGCTCACCATGAACTGTTTCTCCTCTGTGATAACCCCAGTACATGCCACCCTGCTTTGGAGCCAACCAACTGGGAACTGAAATCTCTACAAACTGTCAGCTAAATAATCCTCTTCTCCTTTAACTTTGGATGTTGGCCATTTTGTCTTAGCAAGGAGAGAAAAAGTAGCTAAGACAGCAACTCAACCCTAGGTGTGCTGCCGACTCCCTTTCTCTTACCTGGCACCACATTTCTTCATCACCTTATCTCTCCTTAGGAAACCCCACCAAGCAGAGTTGTCTCTTTGCTACACTGTTGCATCTTAAGTGCTCATAACCAACCTGGTAAATAACAGCTGCTGAATCTACCTGTGCTGAATTTGAAAATAACAGATGGCAGCTTATGGACTCCAAGAGGTCAACAACTGGGAAGAGGCCATTTACAGGGAGGCTGAGCTTCAACTCAGCATCCTTCCTGCCTCCTTATCCTTGTCTCAGTGTTTGTTTCTTTGTCAGAATAATAGGAAACACCTGTATCTCATCTTGATTTAAAATAATATAATGTGGGGGGCTGGGGATTTAGCTCAGTGGCACAGAACCTGCCTGGCAAGCACAAGGTTGAAAGTTCAATTCCTGGTACCGGAGAAAAACCAAAACCAAAAAATAACAAAATAAATAAAATAAAATAATGTAATGTGTTATTTGAAATCCTTTTCCTGTAGTGTTTCTTGGTGTGTTCATAAGCCAAATTTAATTTATTTTCACTGAATCCCCTATTCAAATTCTGAGTTCATTGCCAAGTACAAAGATATGCAGACTCATGCACTTTTGATCAAAGAGTTAAATGGGTGATCATTCATGGCAAATTATTTCACCACATGTATTAAAAACTATGGAAGGCTAAATTAGATATAATTCATGGAGATTGATTTTAAGAAAATAGCTAGCCAAATAGGTTAAATATTAATAAAAGTCTCCTTATCATTACACACACTATTGATATGAAAAGTTAGAAGCAATCTAAACTGCCAGAAGGGGGGAATGACTCACTACATTGTACTATATTCCTGCAACATAATACCTCATGACCACAAATTTGATCATGACTATTTTAATGAAAAAGTTCAAATATAGCACCAAACAAAAACACTATAACACAATATCTTTTAATTAATTTTAGGAAAATATAGTTAAAAAATAGGCACAGGCACACAAACATCAGAGAGAAAGAAGGAATGGCTACACCAAATTGTAGCAGCAGTTGTGTTTGGACAGAAGATTGTTGGTGAGTCTCTGCATAATGGGGAGGATGGAAGCATTAGCTCAATGGAGGCTGTGGGCCTCACTTTCACAAATGAAAAAGGAGGTTTAGGAATCCACTTGTCTTTGCTTTGGCCAGCTCTGAGAGTCTAAAGGATCCTAGGTAAAAGTATGGTCTCAAGTTACACCCACTTACCTATAGAAGGCAAGCAGTGTCTTATTTTGTTTTAAATGTTTAATGAATCACGTTAATCTATGCAAACTAGTGGCATTTAGTTCATTACAACATTGTCCAACCACTGTATCTATTTGTTTCCAAAACATTTTAACATCTCCAAAATAACTGCACATTATTAAATAGTTACTCCCTATTTCTTCTGTCCAGCATAACCACTCTCTACTTTTTACTACTACCTATTCTGGATATTTCCTGAAAATGGGATCATTCATCTTTTTTTATTTTAAAGAGGAAAAAACAATAAAAACAATGATACAGAATTTTAAAACAAGATAATAGGAAATTAACCATGGTTAGTATATTATGTATTGTTATCTTCAAATAGTTGCTCAGATTACAAGATATGGGCATGCAAGATTGATCAAACAATAAAAGCACAAACAGTTCCCTTCAATAAACTAAAAGAAATGAGTGGTATAACTATCTCAGCTATCTTGTGTGTATACATATTTTTCTTTTCCCTTCCTTCTTTTTCCTTTTCTTCATCCCAGTTGTTCTTTACTTTTGGCCAGTTTCTTTCCCTTTCACAGTATCTATTGTATATTTTTTATCTTATTTACTTTTTAAATTTCACACACTAGGGAGACAATATGATGTTTACATGTAAGAGTCTGATTTATTTCACTTAAGTGTATGGTCTCAAGTTGCATCCATTTACCTATAAAAACCTCAAGTTTATTCTTCTTTATAGCTGAGTAGTACTCCATTGTATAAAAATATCACATCTTTCTTATTCATTCCTTTGTTGTATACAGGCAGAAACCCCATCCAACCAAAATCCCACAGGGGATATGTATAGGTCAACAGCTGCGCCTGCCTAAATCCATGGGAGACGTACCAGTCAAAGTGTCACCCAGCAGGTTTACTGGTGCCAAGATACATGAGTCAATCAGCAGCTCTTGAGGTTACTGCAGGGAACAAGTTTTATATATTAAGCCTCATAGCAGTGAAATAATTAGCTTTCTTTGTTTTACTGTTTAACCATCATTTCAAGAACACTTGACTTAGAGAATGGGCAGGAAGGCAGCTCATACTGAATATTAGTTTGTCCAGTTCACAGCATCACTCACATAACAATTCCCTACACATCATGATCCATATCCACTGAGAATGGCCCTTTGACTTGACAAGTCTTGGGAATGGAAAAACAAAAACTCTGTTTTCAAAAACATGGTGCCAAAAGTCCTAATTTTAATCAAGGATAATACAGACAATACACAAAATGAAAAATGGAAGATAACACTGGCAATAGCAATACTTCCTTCTAATGAACAACAGAAAAATGCCAATGTTAAAAGTTCTTTTTCTTTCAGTTTTAAGTCTTTGCTGAGCATAGAACTCCTGGAAATGAGACAGGTTCTGTAACCTGGTCCTAAAACTTAAACCATGGGAAAACTTAGACTAAGTCAGTGGGACCTCTCTGACTCTGTTTGCTCCCTCCTGATAAAGTTATACGTTCTTAAGGATCTCCTAGGTCTGAAAGGATTCAATTCTATGACTCATAGGTATGAGTTGAGGTGAGTGCAGGCTCAGGGGCAGCACAGGGTGGGGAGAGGCCGCTTTTGGCCCAGAGAGCACATGCAACCAGGACCTCTTGGATCTTCAGTGCCCAAGGTGAGAGAAAAGGCAGTTCACTGAAAGAACTCCAAACCACTCTAGCACTTAAAGGCCATTTGAAACTATTTCATTGCTGGACCTCATGGAATAGTTTGTTGCTGGAGTCTTAGAGACTTCCTGACTGCAAGGACCTTAGGAGAAATTATACTCAAATATAGTGAGAATCTGTCACACTTACCCATGTTTTCTTGGCCCTCTAGCTTCCTCCAGAAAATGTCCACACCCACCATCCCTTGGAACCTCCAGCTCTCTGCAGCTCTCACTTCCTGTGGTGAGCAAAGCCATTTCCTTAATGGCAAGTGCCTGAACCCCTCCAGAGTCTCAGCTCCAGCCCTCAGTTTGACATGGCTCCTGCCTCAGGCTCTGCCACCTCATCTCAGCCAGTCCTGGCTGGTGCCTATCTTAACCAACATACTAGCACAACTAGGTTTCCAGGGATTACTGGCAACAGCCAGATGTCCACTCCAGCTGTCTCTTACCCCCAAATTTGGCGGTGGGATGTCATGAGAAGCTCTGAAAACAGGTCTCTCTCACTTGAAGCCTTCACATTGACTGTCACTGACCATGGTACAGCACGTGCTTCCACGTCTGTGACAGCCCGTGTTAGTGCCATCATTTCATGTATCCATCACTATTTGCCAGCCTGGTTCAGGGGGCACCACTACACATTCTTTTTTTTTTTTTTTTTGTAAGAGAGCAGTACATGAGAAACAAACAAAAAAATAGAACAGTAGCAGCATACCAGTATCACGAACATAAACAAATCAAAGCAAGAACATTCAAAGTGATAGAGGGTCTCAAGACATAATTAATACAAATCAATAGTGGTTGTTACATTGCATATTGCTATCCTCAACTACATTGCTCAGATTATCAGATGTAAGAATGAAATATTGCTCAAACCATTAAAGAGAATAAGAAAATAACTCTTCAATAAAACATTACAGATAATACAGAGTTTCACTGACAAGATGGTAGGAGTTCACCATTGTAATTCCATTGCATATTGTTACCTTCAAATCAGTTGCTCAGACCGCCAGCCACAAGCATGCAAAGTCAATCAGAACATAAAAAATTGTGAGCTTTAACTGCTCATTTCAAACACCATCAGTACACAACAGCAATACAGTCATCACACCTAATTATATACGTATATTTATGCTTTGCGTTCCTTCTTTCTATTTTCTTCTTTCCCTCATCCCAGTCGTCCCTTCCTTTGAGCAATTTCTTTCCCTTTCCTATCATCTATTGTAC